ATTAAGTGCTGACTTGTAGAACTGCAGTGCAGGGAAAGTCCATCCAGCGTCCAACAGCACTGGAGATGAAGTTTGTTTTCCTCTTTGTTTATCCTTTTGGTCTAAAATAAAACCTGAAAGGGGAAGTCCACCAGTATTTCACAATGTGTGCATAATTAAATGGTTAAAATGTAAACAAGGTCATTCAGAGTGGTTTGGTGTGAGACGCTCCATCCCAGAGACACTTACTGAGTCAGAACTGTTCACAGTGGTGGTGATAGGAACCAGACATCCACCTCTAATAGCTCCCTTACATAAAGTTATTACTGTATATGGGAAAATTCGCTGAGATGTCTGAGACTTTGTTTTATGGAAGTTTTGTGATCAGGATTTGGCCTAAAACATATATTTATGGCAGAGGGATACATATGTGGCGTTATAAAAATAGCCCCCCAGTATAACTTATTTTTTCAGATTTACCACCCTTTTATCATTGTCAGTAACACAAAGAAAGATCAGAACACACGTGTAGGTTCACTGGTGGTTTTGAATAGTAAATAAAATAGCAGGTTTGCATTGAACACAGTGTGGGCCCTGGTTGTGATCACCACCACTGTTGTCAAGTTTCTCTACAATGAATTATTTAATGTTAAAATGCTCTAAATGACTTCTCAGTGACCTGAATTATACAGAAACTTTGAAAAATTGTTGTAATTCCCCTTTAAATCTCCAAAGTGAGATGTGTGAGCTGCAGTAAAGCCAATTAAAACTGAACTAAAAGTAAAAAGTGTTCCTTTACTCACTGATATGTTTGAGTAGAAGTAAAAGTATCTTTTGGAAGTAAATACCCAGTACAGGTAAAAATGTACTTGAGCACATGGAGCTGAGTACATGTTTAAGAAATACCCTCTGTTTGTTTTACTACCAACATGGGTGCAGTATTGCTCTTAGTCTGAAATGTAGACAGTATTATGCAATACTGCACTTACTGTAATCAAAGTCAAGCTGAAATTAGCTTTTTTTTTTTTTTACTCTGTTAGTTCCTTTCCTTTTTCAGATGTGCTGGAACTGTAGGCCATCAAAGCCATCAGAGATTTTTTGGGTACTGATTTGCTGATACTAACAAACAAAAATCTAAAAGAAGGCAGAAAACAGGACTAAATCTGATTGGATCACAGAGATATGTTACATTAATCTGTAAAGATTTACAAATGCATTGAAATAGTAACTCCAGTAAGAAGATCATTACAGTGATCAACTCTACTTGTAACAAATGCATGGACAAGTTTAGTTTCGGTGAGATAGAATTAGTGATATTTCTCAAACGACAAAAAGCTACTATAGAAATTGTGTTTAAAAGCAGGATAAAACAGAGATCACACCCAGGTCATACTTCAGGTTTGGTATATGAGAGCTGAGCTTCTCATAAAGCAGCTTTCTCTGAGTTTTAGTACCACCGATCAGTATTTCAGTCTCTTTGTGATTCAGAAAATTTTGCGACATCCACTGAGAAATATCTGCAACACAGCTGGTCAGTCTCTCTACAGAGTCTTGATCATCAGAAGGAATGGAAATGTATAAGTGTGTCATCAGCTTAGCTATGAAAATTTATATTATACTTTCTAATGACATCACCTGGAAGAAACGTGTACAAAGAGAAAAGCAAAGGCCCTAAAACTGAACCCTGTGGGACTCAACAAGAAATGGTCGTTTTTTTTTTGATAAATGATTTCCCAGTGAAACCAGGAACTGGCTAATCATTAACAATGATTTAAACCATGCCGATATGATTCTGATATCACTGCATTAGGGGTGGGCAATATGAAAATATTACATAACGATACTTTAAGAAATTTTCATGATACACAATATGCGTCACGACAACATAGAACCTGTGTTGGCACATATAAACATACTGTAATAATAATAATAAACAACTAAAGTGTTTTTTATTTAATGTTTCACAAACTGTGCTGCACAAAATCCAGTTAAACAGGCTTAGTCATACTCATTTTGTAACGAAACGTAGTTAGTCAGTCTTTAAGTATATTTAAGAAGTACAGTGATGGCATATGCTATAGAAAGATGAAGCAGTGCAATATTAAATTAAACTTCATCCATTTGTTAACACATTGCCTTCTCTTGTAGACTGTATTTTTCAGATTCTTCACGAATACCAATAAGAAAGCAGATTTTTTTTTAGATTTTTTAAGTTTAATTTTAATTTCTGATAATGTATTACATTTTTTTTACCCTGCATTAATTAATATATTTTATTTTTGACCTTATCTTTTATTGCATTATGTTATTTTGTGTGGACATCCAGTTTAATAGTATTTTAATTGCATGTTACATTTATATAACTGTATTTTCAAATTGATTTTTCCCAGGTTGAACATTCTTGTAGGTGCACCCAAAGCCAACAGCTCATCCCCTTCCCCTGTGTTGGAGCGAGGGGCGGTCTACAGCTGTCCCTGGCAGACCGGTGGTGTTTGTACACAGATACAGTTTGACAGCACCGGTAAGTGAAACCCATCATTTTATCATCACAGTCACACGCGGACTGAGCTGTTGTGCTGTTGTTCCAGTGTGCTGTAAGGCTGTAAAGGCAGTGCTGTTGCCCCAGTGTGCTGTAAGGCTGTAAGGCTATAAAGGCAGTGCTGTTGTTGCAGTGTGCTGTAAGGCTGTAAAGGCAGTGCTGTTGCTCCAGTGTGCTGTAAGGCTGTAAGGGCAGTGCTGTTGCTCCAGTGTGCTGTAAGGCTGTAAGGGCAGTGCTGTTGCTCCAGTGTGCTGTAAGGCTGTAAGGCTGTAAGGGGAGTGCTGTTGTTCCAGTGTGCTGTAAGGCTGTAAGGCTGTAAGGGCAGTGCTGTTGCTCCAGTGTGCTGTAAGGCTGTAAGGCTGTAAGGGCAGTGCTGTTGTTCCAGTGTGCTGTAAGGCTGTAAGGCTGTAAGGGCAGTGCTGTTGTTCCAGTGTGCTGTAAGGCTGTAAGGCTGTAAAGGCAGTGCTGTTGCTCCACTGTGCTGAGACGCTCCAGGGACTGTAATGATTTATGGGGTTGTGCATCAGCTTTGCCCCAGATAATCTCACTATGTGCTATGTGGGGTTTGTAGTCAAGTCCAGGCTTGTGGCAGAACACAGGCTCACAGCAGGGCTTTTCTAAACCTGGGGTTGTAAAGAGCCCAAACACCAAAACCAGTCATTTTCTGATGCTACTTGCCTGATTTTCAGAATCAGAAATTTTGTATTCACCTACAAAGAATGTTTTATTTATTTTATATATAAACTGGCCCATAGTGTAGCCAACAAGCAATGGAAGCTGGTGTCCACCAGTTAGCATCACACAAGGTTCATATCCACAGTCCATACATGGAAACTAAGCTGCAAAAACAGCTTGTTTTGAATTCATTGTTTTTGTGATGTCACAAAAAACTAACACATTTACACATATCCCCATTATATCCACCCCTTCAGTCTATGGCACTTCATCTCCGCGTGTTCATAATGAGGTTATAAGGAACCCGGGCTGGACTGCTTTCTGAATGAGGTGCAAAACAGAGCAGCCAATCAGGGCGGAGCTTATTTACATATCATTCTAGTAACAAAAACAGTCTGTTTGGTTCTAAGAGGAAAGAGGGGCTTGAAATGGTTATGTAAAAGTGAGTAGTGGCTGTTTTTGGTACATAAAACAGCAAAATGTGATAAAATAACCACAAAATACAGACGATTCGACTATATGGGCCCTTTAAGTAATTAGCCTCGTAGCTCCAGTGGAGAACTAAAGAAGAAAACTTCAGATAGTGAACGTGTCCTGGCTGATGGGCTACATTTGGGATAATGGGGGGGTTGGGGGGGGCGGGTGTGGGACTGTATACATTTGATTTTTGGTCAGACTCTTCTGTGGTGAAGATCTGCTGCAGTGAGTGAGGACTCCAGTCTGTTTATCTGCCCTGTTTGTGTGGTTGTTTTGTGAATATGTGAACGTGTGAATGTGAACTCAGAGCTGCTTTAATCCTAATTCTCATTGGTATGCAGTGTGTGTGTGTGTGTGTGTGTGTGTGTGTGTGTGTGTGTGGGGAACTCTGCCAGCTTCACCAGCCTAACTCACAAACACAGCACCTCTCTCTCACTTTCTCTCCCTTGCTCTCTCTCTTTCTCTCTCCCTTGCTCGCTCTCTTTCTCTCTCTCCCTATTTTCTCTCTCTCTCTCTCTCTCTCTCTCTCTCTTTCTCTCTCTCTCGCTTTTTCTTTCTTTCTTTCTTTCTTTCTTATTCTCTAAAATTAAGCTGATTTGATCTCTCCATTTTTCTTTGTGAAACAGTTTATCCTGACTTTGGGAATAAAGCTGAATTCCATTCATCTCCTCAGGTGTTTAAAGCTCTGGACCAGAAGAGTTAGTATGAACTTTTAGCAACAGTTTAAAACAGAAAACTGCCAAATCATCATTTAGACAGAAGCTGCTCTTCAGACAAAGGAAGATACTTTGATGAAGATGAGTCTGAGTGCTGAACTGTAGAGGACTGAACTGAAAAGTGTCAGTTGTTCCTAAACTTTTGACAGGTGTTGTGTTCTCGACTGTCTGTAACGGTTTCTCACCTGAACGTCCACATTCCTCTGAGGAGGAGTTCAGCCACAGTGCATCATAAACAGTGCTGTTAGCAGCAGTGAGGGCTGGTGTTCAGTCGCTGTGTTGTGTTGCTGTGCTGTGCTTTGTTGCATTGTGTTGTGTTGTGCTCTGCTGTGCTGTGCTTTGTTGTTATGTTGTGCTGTGCCGTGCTGCGCTGTGTTGCACTGTACTGCGCTGCACTGTGCTTTGTTGCTGTGCCGTGCCGTGCTGTGCCATGCTGCGCTGTGCCGTGTTGCACTGTGCTGCGCTGCACTGTGCTTTGTTGCTGTGCTGTGCTGCGCTGTGCTGCGCTGTGCCATGTTGCACTGTGCTGTGTTGCGCTGTGCTGTGCCGTGCTGCGCTTTGTTGCTGTGCTGTGCTGCAGGTGAATACAGTCTTTGTGCTGCTGACTGCTTTAGTCTAGATAAGAGAACACAGTAATTGCACTGAATTATTATTATTATTATTATTATTATTATTATTATTATTATTATTATTGTTAGTACTGTAAGTGTCAGTACTATTAGTATTATTGTTGCTGCTATTATTTCAGCTGTTTTCAGTCCTCTTTTACTCAGCATTCATCATTGCTGTGTTTAGAGCTATAGAAATGTGTGGTGGAGATGTGTCTGACCTAGTCCTGTGATGTCTGATCGTCATGACAATGTTGACGATACCATTGTGGGGCAGGTAGGCAGGTCACTAAAAAAAATTGTTGCCGATATTATTGACACAGTCAGTTTGTCTGAGTGTTTACAGTGCACAATGAAAACACTGACTACTTCAGCTGATGGGCTGAGGATGCTACGGCACATTTCTCCCGTGATACATTTTAACTCGGCTGGTTATGTGGTAACATCTTGCAACTTGCCGTCCCTGCTGAAAACAGAGAACATAAACATGCTTTCCGCTCTTTGGTGTGGTTTGATAGTGTGTGGCATTGTTTGATAATTATTGGTACAGATTGCTCGTTTATGGTATGTTTTGGATGTTCTTGGTGTGGTTTGATAGTTTGTGGCATTGTTTGATAATTATTGGCATGGATTGCCAGATTCTGGTATGTTTTGATAGTTCTTGGCATAGTTTTGCAGTTCTCAGTATGGTCTGGTAGTTTTCGGTGAAGGTTTAATAAACTGCATGCTGATAAATCACCTCCTGTTAAAATAATAAAACAGCTGAAAGCCTACCTGTTACTGTAGCTGTGCGTTGTCTTTTTTTAAACAGCTGATTTAAACACAAAGTAAAGATTTTTTAAAGCTCCTGTTCAGGTTTCGTGAGTGAAACCATTCCATGTGTGGTAGACTGCAGAACGGCTTTATTACCGTGGGTAAGAAAAAGAGATGTTCCTTGTGGTTGCAGTGTTTCTGTTACGTCTCTTGGCCTGAGAAGTCGCCTGACCTGGTCAGACAACACCGCGGTCTCAGTGCCTTGTGTGCACAACCAGTCGTGAACCAGCTGGTACTGTACTGTAATATTTCCAGAGTCTGATGGTCGGAGGGCGAGAGTACAGGATGCACATATGAGAAATAAACTGAGAAATTCAACAAAGCTGAAGCCGACTTATTATTCAAAACTGCTTTTCTACCTTAAATGGTGGAACAGTTACATTCAGGCGCCTGTACATGTCACTGCTCCATTTAAGGTGGAACGAAAACAAAAAGATGCCGAATAACCAGCTTCAACATTTTTGTCAGGCCCACTGCGAGTGTTACAAAGCAATATTGACACAGGTTTATTTATATATTTTTCAGTTTTGATTTCATTATTTTGCACCAAACTATGTCAGATTTGCTTTGGGTGTTAAAAATGGTTCTTATTAAAAAATGAAGAGGCATCTAAGAGTAATAAGCCACTTTTTACCCCACAGAAAAGGTTTACTGAAGCATCTAGAATGATGTTACTTAAAAAAAAAAAATGTATACTGTGATCTATCAAAACTAGCAGAAATTATAGTTATATTATTATATCACTTTTTGGCCATTTCGTCCACTACTACGTTGGTATGATACACCAGAAAAGAGCACAGATACCATGACTTAACAACAGTGCAAACCACTGTAACGTTAGGCCGTTTAGCTGAATGGCCAGGGATGGTCAGGGATGTTTTGGTCACATTTCCAATGAAAACGAAAACGCAGCAGACCCTCGATCACCTCCTGCTGTCTAGTCATCTAAAGAAGTCCACTTTGTTTTCAGACACAAAGTACATACAGGAGGTAAAAGTGTACCGGACCCGAGTACGAGGCAGATAACTTGATGAAGAATGAGAAGTTGGCTCCTTATTTAATTTCCCGTTCCACCTTAAATGGTGCAGCAGTTATATTTAGGCTCCTGTACAGCTGCCAGACTGCAACTTCTTGCTCCATTTAAGGTCGAATGGGAAATTTGAGCAAAAGAAGCTGGCAAAGAAGCGAACTTCAGCCTATTGTGACACTAATCACATTAAAGCGAGTATACTTCACATCCTGCATGAACTGGTCAGCACTGAGTTCGCTGGGCGTGTAGTGACAGTAAAGTGAGGACGAGGTGTTTAACCAGCTGTGCCTTTGGCAGAGAGTGGAATTTCCCACTGCAGGGAGGAACAGAGGGCAGCTGACTCTGTCTGATACTGTCCAAGGCCACTGCGAGGATGCATGTGAACATTTGAGTATGTGCTTGTTTTCCCAGTGAATTTGAATACAGAATTTTGTACCACAATCATCACATCAAATCACATCAAATTAGATCAAATTGTGGTGAAATGTAAAATGTCTCTGTTAATAATTCCCTAAAGAACCACAAACACAGTGAGGTCGCTTTGAGGTCAGAGCATTATGCCTATATAAACATTTTTAAAGGGTCCATAATTCTGCATTATTCTTATATTTTATTGTTGTTCCACTTCAGGGCTGCAGATATCACGATGATGATATAAGAAGC